AATCATCAAAATACCGAATATCGGGAGGTACAGTTATATGGGGGCTATATGAAAACGTGGACCTACATGGCCCATTTACGAACTTAACCTGCTTACTGAAAAAATAAACATGTGTGCAAAATGTTGGCCTTCTATCTCACTTCGTCGAAAGATAGCGTGATTGCAACAGACAGACGGACAGACAGACGGACATCGCTAAATCGACTTAGAATTTAACGCTGATCAAGAATATATATACTTTGCTGGGTCTGACATGAGTATTTCGAGGAGTTACAAACGGAATGACGAACTTAATATACCCTCCATACTATGTATGGTGGAGGGTATAATAATAAATTGACATTGGATTTATTTCAATTTCTTTCGAAGAAAACAACTGACATTTATTGAAAAGTGCAATTGTATTAAATGTGTCGGAAACTATAGCTCTATCGGCAGCTGTCATTAGGTGGGGACGTAAAAAGAAAGGTATATCGCAAATATTCCGGGAGCGGTCAACTGGGCAAAAAAATTACTTGTACTTATAAGATATAGAAGTATTTTCAGAAGAGTAATTATTGCAGAGAGAACCCGGGTCTAAGACCCTTAACCATGGGTACGTCCTATTGGAGACTATATAAAGTACTATAGAGTACTATATAAAGTTTTTTTTATCGACTTAATCTGAAGTCCAGTTTAGAAATGGGACTTTACTCAATTTTTTTTATTATTTAGCTTAAGAAACATTTTTGAAATGGTATGGGACCTATGTATGATATCATAATTATATCCAAATGATTATGGAATCTTTCAAAATAATAAAAATAAAAAAACGCGTGTTAATACCAACTCGCATACATTATTCAAATGAAAAAAAAAAAAAAATCACAATCTCGCCCACACTCTACCATACGATTTGTGGTCTTTTTTATTTTGATATATAAACAAAACTAGATATAGTTGGTACCTGTTTCCTCACAGAATATATTTCATAAATATTAGAATTACTGTCTTCGTTCTATTTGTTAGTATCGCAAAGAATTTGCATATCGTGATCTTTTTTTTTTAAGTTTTGATAATATCAAATATATAAACTGTACGAAAAATGTATCTTAAAAAAAATATATGTCAGGAAAAGAATGAAGAAAAAATATTCAGATAGGAAATTTTTTTATAATTGGTAGGATTAAAGGGTTCTTGTTTTTGTGGAATAATGTCAACAGATGTTCACTTATAAACTAAGATTATTTAAACTAATAAACTGAATTAAAACAAGTTAAAATCAGGTAAGTTCGACAGGGCCACCATTTGGAAGGAATTTGAAAATTAAAAAAATACGTTAAAAACAAGTAAGCAAAAGCTATGGTAGTGCGGGGCCGAATTTGTGATATCCTACAACACTACAATATGTGAGAAGCCACCTTATATCCAAATCCATTTTGGAAGATTTCGCTTTTAAAATTATGTCAATATTATAAGTCAAATTGAAAAAATCGCATGCGATAAAAAATATAAAAAAAATGAAATGTCAAAATACTACAAAATCTATATTAACATCATTATTGACATCTTTTTATGCGATTTTTTTAGAATTTATACTTTTATGCCAAGAAGGCATTCTGAATTGACAAAATTTGTCAAAATCGGTTCTTGAGATATAAGCATTCTAGCTAACATCCCCTTCCAGTGTATAAACAAATTGTATACGTTTCGCTATATACATCCGACATATTTACTATCGTCATCTACGTAACGGTCAGAATTGACCTGTTCGTCTATTTGTGTTTTCGACGGGATTAAAAATATTCGGGATTTAATGGAAAATTTGACTTTTATTTAACACAGATGTTATGGTCTATTTCAACCACTAAATATTACCCGACGACCATCAAAATTGGAAGGCATCTGCCCAGCTCTAAGCTCTTAAACCATGCTAACTTCCACGTCGATTGGTCTATAATTGTGACCTGTAGAGCAACTGCAAAATCAGATTTTTTTTCAGTTTTTGGTCCATTTCCCCACCTAGATATTATGCGATCATCTCCAAAAGCAATAGGGTTCTATTCTGGCCCTATCCCCACCTTCATTCTAAATTTCGTGAAGATGGGGCATAATTGCGACCTTTAGAGTGATTACAAATTAACATGGACAGACGGACATTCATAGCTAGATCGACTCAGCTCGGCGAAATAGGAAGATCCATATATACTTTCCCATGTGGAAACGAATATTTCGAGGTGTTACATAATTTGTGGCCCAATCAAACTTATAATACCCCCAACACATAGTGTTGTAGGGTATAAATACTGTTAAAAATCATAAAAATACCGAATATAGGCAGTTACCGTTAAATTGGCATCTATACGAAGATGTGGACCAGCATAGGAAAGTTTTGTCGTAGGCCAATATAATATTCAGATACGAAACTTGAAACAATTCCGGTAATAATGTCGCTAAAATCATCAAAGCCCTTATATTCCTTATATTCGGACGTCGTTATATGGGGGCAATACGAACACCTGAACCTGCATACGACATTTTTTCCGTTTTCTACCCGTTACGAACTACAAACACGAAATTTGAAACAATTGAATAATATCCCAAAAATCATCAAAATACCAAATTTAGGGAGGTGCCGTTTTATGATGACTATACGAAGACGTGGGCCCGCATAGACAATTTTCTGTCACAGACTTTGGCATCCATAACGAAATGTGAAACACTTTCTGTGAATAATCTCGCTAAAGTTATCAAAATACCAAATAAAGGGAGGTACCGTTATATGTGAGCTGCATATACAAATTTCTGTAACAGGCTAAAGTGCCCATTATGAAGTGCAACTGCGAAACTTTAAATAAATTCCGGTGCCATATGGCTACAGAGGGTATATATCATTTGAAACGGCCAAAACGTGCCTCATCGATATAACAGTTTTAGACCCCAAGTCTCTTTGGACCAAATCCGTTTCAGGACATTTGGAGTCGATCTAGCGATGTTCGTCCGTCTGTCTGACCGTCTGGCTGGTGCGCACGATAACTCTCGAAGGGAGTTTCCGATTTTTTCCAAAGTTGGTACATCGTAATATTATTATCAAACTTAGATCGAGTTCGAAGATGGGCAATATCTGCCCACTCATTCTGGTACCATACACAAGGTGAAAATTTTCAAAAATAAAAAAATATATAAAATTGAAAGTATTATCCGATTTTGCTAGGTCAGGTGTGAAAATGGACAATATCGGTAAACTACATCAAGTACCTTCCCCACAAAGGGTAAAAATTTTGAATATTTATAACTCCTATAAAATGTGATATAACAGACCGATTGTTTTCAACTAAAACACATCACAGTATTTTTATTACCCCAAGATCTGGTGTAAAGATGGAAATTCCAATTCCATTCAGATGTGGCACATCTTAATATTTCTATCAACACAAGAACTGTTATAAAGATCGGACCATTTCTTTTGCCACCTCCTCCATATAGATTTCAAGATTTGAAAAACATAACGCTCAAATATAACGATAAAATATAATTCCGAAATCCGTTTCAAAGCATTAGAAGTCGATATAGCCATGTCGATCCGTCTCTCTGTCCATGCGCACGATAAATCTTTAATGAAATATCTGATTTTGTCCAAGTTTTGTAAATCTTCTGATAATTCTGAGAAAACTGAATATATAAGCCCACTCTTACTGACATCTCCCATAAATTTTTGCAAAAAAAAAACGAGTAAAAATCCACGAAATTTGATCGGGTCACTCATTTACTTCCTTTTAAGGATTGGCTCGAGATTTTGAACTTTAAAATCATTATGAGTAGTTATTTTCTCAATTTCAAATCAAATGGGTTGAATATAAGTCAAGGATTTTGAATATCGTTCAAAAGCGGTACCTTCCGATATTTGTATTTTCAATGGAACTGTCTGAATTTTGATATTTGAATTTCTGTCTGAAATTTAATATTTGAATTTCGCAATGTGTTCAATATAAGTCAACGTTTTTTAATATCATTCACAAAATAATACCTCCCGAAATTTGGGTGTTCAGTGGAACTATCTGAAATTTGATATTTGAATTTCGCTATGGATTCATCATGGTTTATTATTGGCACCTATTAATCTGGGATAGACAACATTTTCGGCACTTCCCCATATTTGAACAATTTATTTATTTTTATAACCATTTGCTAAAAATGTGACTTGATATGAATACCTTTTTGCTCCTCCCAAATAATAAATACTAATCGTATATCAAGTCTCGATAAACGGGTTTCCTCCGCCTTTTGTAGAGGGTATCCAGATTCGGCCCTGCCGAACTTATCCGCTTTTTACTGGTTTTTGTTTTAATTTTTAAAATATTCTGAAGAAGGTGTTAGAATAAGAAATCAAGCTGTATTACAACAGGCCGATGGACGGATAACATTTATGTGTATTATACATAGCATTGGCTCTGATATTTATCAAAAACAAATTTGTTTGGAGATTTATGGATAGGTATATGTTGTTTATGTTTAACACGGATGTTTTCAATTTTTTAATCGCTATTCAGTTTATTCAAAATTCTTAACTTTAAAAAACAAAGCCTTTCTTTCACAAAGCATATCAAGTTTGTGATTCAATGTGGAATTCTTTCCAATTGTTGTAGAACATCTTTAGACAGGCCACAATGAAAGCCATGGCAACAACATATGGCCAACACCTATGTAGTTTACCGAAACCGCAAATTAAAATGCAGATTTAGACAATGCAATATAATGGATGATATATTCGAACAAGTTGGGGTACTTTTTTTCTGTTTTGGTACGACTTAATGAAATTCAGATAACTAAAAAAAAAATAAACAGATTAGTTTGGATTTTTATTTATTTATTTTTTTTAAAGCATACGCCTTTAATTTGACTTTGAAGCGATGCGATGCGCTCCTATTATTGTCTATTTTACTATCACACGTTTTTGCAACACATGCCTGATATTTTGTCAATTCTCTTTCATAATCCACATTTTTTCCAACTTGGCCAGAAAATTAATTTCTAAGTTTTATATAAAAAGATGGCAAAATTAAATGTTAGCTATCAATCTCCATTTTGGTTTCATTGGATTTTGAACGTACAAGTTCGTTCGAGACGGCAACTAATATGAAGGTGTGTATAATCGGAAAAAAAACAAAGGATTTTTTTTTTCGAAGGATAACTTGACCGCCTAGCACTGTGGATTATAGGCCCAAGTTTCCTGCGAAATCTCCTTTGTAGTGGAAAGTGAAGTTAATTAACAAATTATATTCTTATTGTCAGGTTTTCGTTTGTCTTATGGCCATTTGTGCCGTTGCTAATGCTGGCTTCCTATTCGGAGGAGGCGGCGGTGTTGGTGGTGGCGGCTACGGTGGCGGCGGTGGCTATGGTGGTGGCGGCGGCTATGGTGGTGGCCATGGAGGCGGCTATGGTGGCGGCCATGGAGGCGGCTATGGCGGTGGTCACGGTGGCGGTGTGTCCGTCATTAAAGTAATTTCTGACGGTGGTGCCGGTGGCGGCTATGGCGGCGGCTTTGGCGGCGGTTATGGCGGTGGCTACGGCGGTGGTGGCGGCTATGGCGGTGGCCATGCTGATGTCGGCGAAGTCAAGGTCATCAAGGTCATTTCCCAAGGACACGGTGGTGGTCATGGTGGCGGCTTTGGCGGCGGTTATGGCGGTGGTTTTGGTGGCGGTTATGGCGGTGGTCACGGTGGCGGCTATGGCGGCGGTCACGGTGGCGGTGTCGGTCACGTCAAAATCATCAAGGTCATCTCCGAAGGCGGCGGCTACGGTGGTGGTTACGGCGGCGGTTATGGCGGTGGTCATGGCGGTTGGGCCGATTAAGTTCCTACTTACTGTTTAGCCAATTTGTATATATGTATATGTCCTGTCAAACGAAACCTTTCTAAGACGGCTAACTGTCTTGAACAGCTTCATTTTTTCTGAAGTTGTAATGTTATATTTATAAAATAAAGTTTTCTTGTTATTAACCAAAAATATGCTTCTAAATTTGGACTCAAAATGGCATCGAAGTAATACATAAGACCAGCTTACCTTTCATAGACTAAAAGATGATAATGCAAAAAATTCACTGACAAAGGAACCCATTTAGCAAGGATAAAAGAGAAGAATTTTTAAAACATTTTTATACCCTCAGCCATATGGAAACAGAGGGTACATATCATTTTATACGCCAGAACGTGCCTTATCGAAATAATGGTTTTAAACCCTAGGTCTATTCGGAACAAACCCATTTCATAACATTTGGAGTCGATCTATGGGTGGTCGTCCGTCCGCCTGTCTGGCTGGTGTGCACGAAAACTCTCGAAGGGAGTATCCGATTTGATCAAAACTTTGTGCATCATAATATTATTGTCAAACTTAGGTCGGGCTCGGAGATGGACAATGTCGGTTCACTCCTTCTGCTACCTATCCCAAAGAAGTTCAAAATTTCCATAGAAAATAATTTATCTCATATAACAAGAAAGGATCATCCAGTTTTGTTCAAACTTTGCAAATCCTAATATTTGTATTAGCGATAGGTCGGATGCGAAAATGGAAAATGTCGGCCAACTCCATCAAGTACCTCTCCCACAAAGGGTCAAAATTTGGAATAATTATAGCTTTTATAAAATGTGAAATTAAAGCCCGATTGACTTCAAATTTCACACATTCCTATATTTTAAGTAAGGAAAGAACTTACGTGCAGATGTGATATATAGGTCCAATCCCTCTGATACCTCTTCTGGTAGAAGTATTGACATGTGTGAAATTTGAAGAGAATGGTCTGATTATTTCGTATTTTATGATCGTTTTGGTTAATCAAAATATATCTACCATCCTCACATCAGATTTTGCTTTGAACGAAATATTGAAATGTGCCAAGTTTAAAAGCCAGCTAGTGCATATTTTACGTATTTCGAACTTCATTTGACCCGTGGTGGGGGTCAAAATTTGGAATAGCAATGAAGTTCGAAATACGTGAAATATGCACCCGCATTCTGCAGGCAGGTCAAATTCGAAGATTGGATATATAGGTCCACGATATCGTCTAGCCCCCATATATTCGGTATTTATAAGACTTTAAACACATTTTCAATGGATTTGTGGGAAACACTACACAAGGAGTACTTTTTGAGTATTTTACACCACGAAAATGTATTATCTATATAGCTCCACGATATCGTATATCCCTCATACAACGGTACCTTCCTATATTCGGTATTTTATTGATTTTAGTCAAATTTTTCAATGGAATTGCATGAAAATCCACACAAGAGGTTCCTTCTGAGGACTTTACCCCCCAGAAGAGAGTTGTCTGGCTATGTCCACGATATCGTGTAGCCCCATGCAACGATATACACCCAATATTCGATAATTTGATGTTTTTTAACGACATTTTTACCGGAATTGTTTCAAATTTCGTATTTAAAGTTCGTAGTGTGTATTAAGCCTATGACAAAAAATTGGGAATGCAGGTCCATGATGATGATATTGCCGACATTTTTTACAGGAATTGTTTCAAATTTCGTATTTGAAGTTCATATGGGTACTACAGCCTATGACAAAAAAATTATGTCTTCATAAAGAACCTATGTGAAGGTTTTTTTCGACGGCGGTATTTTTCGACGGGTTTATTTGGAAACTTTCCAAGTATTAAAAATTTGGCCCGGTCGAACATAACTTTTTTACTCGTTTAAAATATTTACACCTGAGATTAGGCTTGCCGCTTTAGAAAAAACAAAATTCCAACAAAAACACAAACTCTATTCCATTTTTATATTCTCCACCATAGTTTCTCATTCCGTTTGTAACACCTTGAAATATACATTTTAGACCCAACAAAGTATATATATATATATATATTCTTGATCAGCATAAAATTCCATGCCTATTTAACGATGTCCGTCCGTCTGTCCGTCTGTGTAAATGACTTTAGCTTCCGAAATGAAGTAGGTTGATAACATTTTACCCAAATGTATACAATGTCTGCAGGATTTTTGGTTTTGAAAATTAGTTATGTAGGTCCACGTTTTGGTATAGCCCCCATATAATAGTACCTCCCGATATTCGGTATTTTGGTGATTTAAGCAATATCATTAACCGGAAATGTTTCAAATTTGGTATTTGAAGTTCGTAGTAGATACTACAACCTAAGACAGAAAATTGTCCGTCCAGAGACACGCCTTCATATAGCTCCCTTATAACGGTACCTCCCCATTTTCGGTATTTTGGTGATTTAAGCAACATCATTAACCGGAAATGTTTCAAATTTGGTATTTGAAGTTCGTAATGGATACTACAGTCTATGACAGAAAATTGTCCGTCCAGGTACACGCCTTCATATAGCCCCTTTATAACGGCACCTCCCGATATTCGGTATTTTAATAATTTCAGCGACATTATTAACCGGAATTGTTTCAAATTTGGTATTGGAAGTTCGAAATGAATACTACAGCCTAAGACAGAAAATTGTCTGTGCAGGTTCACGTCTTCGTATAGACCCCGTATGACGGTACCTCTCGATATTCGGTATTTTAATAATTTCAGCCACATTATTCACCGGAATTGTTTCAAATTTGGTATTTAAAGTTCGTAATAGATACTACAGCCTATGACAGAAAATTGTCTGTGCAGGTTCACGTTTCGTATAGCGCCCTTATAACGACACCTCCCAATATTCGGTATTTTAATGATTCTAGCGTCATTATTCACCGGAGTAGTTTCAAATTACGTATTTCGAGTTCATAATAGGAACTACAGTCTGTGACAGAAAATTGCCTATGCAGGTCCAGGTCTTCGTATAGGCCCCATATATAAGTACCTCCCTATATTCGGTATTTACGATTTTAGGTACAATACTCACCGAAATTGTTTGAAATGCCGTATTTGAAGTTCGTAATGGATGCTACAGCCTGTGACAGAAAATTGTCTATGCAGGTCCAGGTCTTCGTATCTGATATAACGCTACCTCCATATATACGGTATTTTGATGATTTTAGCCACCGTTTATTGCAAGTTTCGAAGTTGAATGTGGTAATGGCTTATGACAAACAATGACTACGTAGGTCCACGTCGTATAGACCCGGTATTTTTAAGATTTTGAGAGAATTTTTAACGGATTTTGTTTTTTTTTTTAATTTCCAAATTCGTTCCAAATGCTGGAGGGTATTTTTTATTTGTCAATTTCAAATATGCCTGTTGTACGAACAGAACTCCGCTGACAGTGGAATATACCCAACATATTTTGCATAATTTATCGTTATCGGATTTCAGAAGCTATTCACAACATAAACATGTATGCAATATAAAATCTATGGCTAGCCTAGCAGAATTTAAACAAATATTATGCAAATGATAGTAGTGTGATATGGGTTATAACAATCCCTAGTTGATTTGAAAAACAAACAAAAAACACAAACACACATTATGACAACAACAACAAAAACAAATTAAAGAACCCAAATAAGGTACATCTACATCAACAAATTATGTTTGGATAATTTTAAATTACATTATCTGGTTATGCTCGTACCGTATGAACGGACGAACGGAAGTTAATGTATTTTATTTAGCCCTGGAGCATCATATCTTCATACTCCTCACTTTAACAGTTAACTGGTTTTGCTACGAAAAAAAAAATTATTTGAGTCAACCTCACTTGGTTTATAGGCCAATGCTAACAATTATGAGACTCTTGTGGCCAAGTGATTTGGCTGCACATCAACGCCTCCGTTGGTTGTTGAGTATATAAAGCTGTTGTAATTCTGAAAATAGCATTAATTTCAAATCAACGCTCATTGAAGTTACAATACAAGACACAAGACGAACAAAGTCTAACATGAAGGTAGGTTACCAACTAAATTAAGTTTCCCCCAGACCATCTAAGGGAATTATTTTGCCTAACACTGTGGATTATGGGCATTTTCAATTCCTTAGATGCCCCAGTGTCCTTTGAGTGGGTCCGATTTCGAATATTTTTTGTTTTTATAATTTTTCAGGTTTTCGTATGCTTATTAGCTATTTGTGCAGTTGCCAATGCTGGCTTCTTGTTCGGTGGTGGTAGCTCCGGTGGCGGCGGCGGTGGCCATGGCGGCTGGTCTGGCGGCGGTGGTGGTGGCTCCGGAGGTCATGGTGGCTGGTCTGGCGGTGGCGGTGGTGGTTACGGCGGTGGTCATGGTGGTGCCGGTCCCACTACCGTTGTAAAAGTAATCCACGAAACTGCTGATGCTGGTTTTGGTGGTGGAGCTGGTGGTGGCTGGTCAGCCGGTGGCGGCGGTGCCGGAGGTTGGTCATCAGGTGGCGGTGCTGGTGGTGCTGGCGGTGAAGTTAAAATTGTCAAGGTCATATCTCAAGGTTCATCCGGCGGCGGCGGTTATGGTGGTCACGACCACGGTTATGGTGGTCATGGTCATGGACATGGTGGCGGCTCTGCTGGTGGCCATGTCAAAGTAATCAAACTCATCCATGAAACTGCACCTGCTCCATCTGGTGGCTGGTCTGCCGGTGGTGCCTCAGGCGGTTGGTCTGCTGGTGGTTCCGGTGGCTGGTAATTATATTTCACCTGGCTTCAAATGAAATCCCCCTTCTCATGTTATGTTAACTTTTGTGATATCTTGTTATTGGAAACAATGTGAAGTCCCCCTACTGGACCTCCATTGTCCAAGTGTAGGCTGTTTCATCTCTTTGTGAAACAGTGTTGTTGTATTTAAGTTAATAAAATTTTACAAATGTTTTTACTGAATTTAAAGCGTTTCATTTTCAAATTAATTTGAGCGGAAATATCAATGAGGTTGTCTTGGGGAATTAATCTAAAATTGTAAAACATGACTCATTAATTCTCATCTTATAAGGCTCTAAATTAGAATCTTGATATTTCGCAAGATTTTGATAATCGAATAAAGAAAATCCTTATCTTTACTAACATCTGTGTTTGTAGAGATACAGGATTTAAAATTCGCATGCTCATTATTTAAATCTGCTTTTGAAGCTAAACTATATAAAAATATGAAATTGTGGACGACCATTGACTGATCACATCATCAACGCCCAGAGCAAACGGCGGGGCCTAGAATCTCGTTGGTTTGGCAGGTAGTTGGACGTTAAGGTACGGTTTTTAGAAATTCGTACTAAAAATATTCATTCTACTTATTGTTCAGCTAGAGCTAGAATTCAGAATTTTTGTAGGCAGAATTGTCCGGCAAAGAAAATATGTTGCTAATTTATTTTGTTGCTCAAATCAGGAAAAATGTAGCAAAATTTAGATTTTAAGAATATTTTAAAAGCATCAAACGTCGATTTGTTAGACATATTTTTAAGGACCCAAATTTAAAATAGTCCCAATGGTCCTAAATTTAGAATTGGTGTAAATTCTGGTGTCATTCGATTAACAGCAGTGCATATGCAAATTTGTTCTAAAAAGTACTAAAGTAGCAGCGATACCTCAATATCAAATCTCAGAGCATAAGCTTTATCCCTTCATCCAATTCCAAATTTAGTAACAATTACGCATATCCCGAACAATTTCCATCTCTCCGTTCTGGACACCAACAACGATAAATAATTAGTACCATTTCGTACTTTTCCACAATTATAGTACGCATTTCCAAAACCATATCCATACCAACAGAGACCTTAATACCAAATTGCAGAATTTCAGTTCTATCCCTCAACCAATACATACAAAAAATCTACATATTTCCATCCAAGTCACCAAAATTGATCCAAATTAATTACTAACAAGTAAAATAGCTGTAAGTTCGGCTGGGCCGAACTTTGAATACCCTCCACCATTTAGAACGAAATTGGCAATTTTCAAAGTAAATAAAATCCGTTAACAATTCTGTTAAAATCTTAAAAATACCGAATGTAGCCGTTATATTTGGGTATAAACGACGACGTGGACCTGCATATCCAACTTTTGTCATAAGCCTTACAATATTCAAATGTGAAATTTGAAAAAAAAAATCTTTGAATAAAATCCCAAAATCATCAAAATTCCGAATATAGGTAGGTACCATTATATGGGGCCTATGCCAAAACGTGGAACTGCACAGACAATTTTCTGTCAGAGGCTGTAGTATCCGTTTCGTACTTCGAATGTCCAATTTCAAACATTTCCGGTGAATAATGTAGCTTAAATCGCCAAAATATCAAAAATAGGGGTACAAGTATATGGAGGCTACACCAAAACGTGGACCTACATGGCCATTTTCCTACAGACATAATTTAAATTTTAGTAAAATTTTATCAACCTTCTTCATTTCACCCAATATCAAATTAAGTACTATTTAGTACTTTTCGTTCAATTATAGTACACATTTTTAAAACCTCCTTCAACCACTATTTGACTTCCATTGTCCAAATATTGGCTGCTTCAATTTTTTTCCTGAAGCAGTGTTGTTAAGTTTTGAATTAAAAAAATTCCCAAATATTTTTACATTAAAACCTGTTTATTTTCATTGCACACTATAGTAGATTATAAAGGAGGATCTAAAACTAGAAGGCACCTGCACTGGTGTTCTGGAAGTTGATATCGAAGGAAGCAAATTTCACATTATTTGAAATTTTCGGATTAGAGGGGCTTAAAATCCTTGCAAATTATATTAACAAGAGAGTAAAGTAATAGACTGACTGGCTTGATGATTCATCAACGACCAGTGTACCAAAATATTTTTTTTTTTAAGATTTGCAAGATTCCACTCCTATCGGTTCGCCCAAATACAAATTGCACAAAATTTAGTACCATGTAATACACATAATTACGAATTTCCAAAACTACCTCCATATCCCAATATTATACTCCGACAATAATCTTATATACAAATTTCAGGATACCAGCTCTATTGCTGGTATGGTATTGTACCAAATGTAGTACATATAAGTACAAATTTCCTTAAGTAGTGTAATATCCCAATACTACTCTCCGGCAGTCAACATATTTCCAAATTTCAGGATACCGGCTGTATTGGTTCACCCAAATCCAAATTGCTCCAATTTTTGTACAATTTGGTTGACATAGGTACAAATTCCCATAATTATCAGCATGATACAATCCAATAGAAATATTAATTCCAATTTTCAGGTTCTCCAAAATTAAAAATATTCCCAAATTTCGTACCATTTAGTACACATAATTACGAATTTCTAAAATTACATGCGTACTCTAGCTCTACAATGCTATGGTAAACTTTTTTCAAAATTTCTGGATTCCAGTTCTACCGATTGACGAAAATTGAAATTGTACCAAAAATAAGTACCATTCTTTAATTTTCATGCACCTAAGTACAAATTTCGAAAACAAACTCCATATCCCAATCCTACATTCCGTGAGTAGTGTTAATTTCAAATTTCAAGATTTCAGTTCCATCAGTTTCTACAAATTTAAATTATAACAAATTTAGTACCGTTTAGTACTTTTCGTATACATGAGTACGCATTTCCAAAACTACCGCCTTACATCGACCCTCCTCCTCAATCTTGATTCCTATTCCAAATTTCACGTTTTTAGTTAACATGATACGAAGAGGTACCAAATATAGTACATTTTAGTACTTTTCGTACACTTATAGAGCGAATTTCTAAAAAACCCATTTGGTACATGCTGCATACACTGGACGTTGATGAATCATCCAGTCAGCCAGCCAGTCTCTTGCTTTAGTTTGCTTTTCGATATCAACTTCCAAAACACCAACGCAGGTGTCTTCTATTTTTAGATCCTCCTTTATAATCTACTGTAGTGTGCAATGAAAATAAACAGCTTTTAGTGTAAAAATATTTGGGAATTTTATTAACTCAAAACTTAACAACACTGCTTTAGAAAAAAATTTGAAGCAGCCAATATTTGGACAATGGAGGTCAAATAGTGGTTTCCATTGATTCCAATAACAAGATATCACAAAATTAAACTTAGAATTAGAAGGAGATGCCAGTTGAAGCCAAGGATTGTGTGGGTACTGTTATTACCAGCCACCGGAACCACCAGCAGACCAGCCTCCAGATGGACCTGGTGCAGGAGCATCTTCATGAATGAGTTGAATTACTTTAACATGGCCGCCGCCAGATGCACCGCCATGACCATGACCATGACCATGACCACCATAACCACCGCCGCCGGATAAACCTTGAGAGATGACCTTGACAATTTTAACTTCACCGCCAGCACCACCAGCACCGCCACCTGATGACCAACCACCGGCACCGCCGCCACCGGCTGACCAGCCACCACCAGCTCCACCACCAAAACCAGCATCAGCAGTTTCGTGGATTACTTTTACAACGGTAGCGGGACCGGCACCACCATGACCACCGCCATAACCACCACCGCCAGACCAGCCACCATGACCTCCGGACCCACCACCACCGCCGCCAGACCAGCCTCCATGACCACCACCGCCGCCACCGGAACTACCACCACCAAACAAGAAGCCAGCATTGGCAACGGCACAAACAGCTAATAGACATATGAAGACCTGCAATGAAGATGACAAAAAAATAAATAATTAAATAAAAGACGAAATGAAAATGCAAAAGCAAAACATTTCTCGTAGATCTTCGTTTGTAGCCAATTAATTTCCAATTTACCTTCATTTTGGATTTTATTCGACTTGTGTCTTGGATTGTAACTTCAATGGAGGTATGTTTTAGATTAATGTTAGTCAAAGAATTACAACAGCTTTATATACCTCAACGGAATGAATGATGGATTTTTGTAAACATAATTATTGGTCTATTAATGCAGCAAGGTTGTTGTAACCAAAACCGGTAAATTATTAATGTGCATTAGTATTGAGATGAGATTTGTCAGGGCTAAGTTGTAAACCATAACAGAGTTACAAAAATTTTCCTTTGATTGGTATTGTAAAAGAATCTCATAAGTGAATTTGGTGTTACTAGTTTGTCATAAGTGAATTTGGTTTCTTTAGTTTTCTTAATGTTTTAAATCATAGAAATGCATTATTTTTTTGTTGGGGTGTATGTTGTATGCAAATGATCCACATTAATTTTGGCATATCATCATTTAAATGCTAATGGGTATGTTCCATACTTTGTGTTTGTTTCTCAAACTGAACTTAAAACAAAAAGCTCTTTTATGCAAATATGTTCGCAAAATTATAGTTTCATTCAATACTACAAATTATATAATAAGAGCTTTCAATTGGGACATCATATGTTGGAGATTTAAAAATTCCGTTTGTAACTTTGGTGCAAGCTTTTTTAAAACGTTAAAGTTGATGAATTTTAAAACAGTATGCACTTGTTAAAAAAAAATTAAATTTAAAATTTAAATTGTTAAATTAAAATTATATATAAATAAATGTTTTCATAGTATCCACCATAAAATTGATTGTATTCGATTTCATCTTTCCGTTAAAAAAGCTCGAAATATTTGTAGATGATATATATTTTCCACAAAAGATCATATTTAAGATATGTACATATATTTTTTTTATTCCGAACCTGCCTTCGCTACCCCTTTATAAAATAAAACATAATCAAAAATTAAACAAAAAAAAAAAAAAAAAGAAAAACATTTATTGTGATCCTTTAGGATATGCAATAGTTTGTGAAAATTCCACATAAATTTAGTCCGCATAAAATACGATTTTTTGCTAGGGATATTTTAATTGTATTGGCATGTTTGTTGATATCAGAGGAATTCTTGATAGCAATACAATTGAACCTACATACTTCCCCGTAGTCTCAATTAAATTGTTGCGAATTTGTTATTGTCTATATTTCTTAATAAAATAATATACGATTCTGAACCTGCTTCAATATAAATTGACAATATATATTTTTGGACCATATTCCGTCCCACATTCCAATTTTCATTGAAATTTGTTTGGTGCATCAAATACATGACATCGGCTGAAAAATGTATTTAGCAACATATAACAGTGTTGGTATGTTTGTTCGGGATACCATAGTAGTAAATGGTCAGGCTTAATCACATTATTGTTGTTTTTATAAAAACAACTTTTGTTTATTGGTGGAGAACGATGGTCATTTTTACCAGGTAATTTCCTCCCCAGGAGTTATCTTAAAAATAACTCCCTTGACAAGAAAATTTTTTTACCCAAGTGACGAGATCGTACAAAGCTAATTTTTAATGGATACTACAGCCTAAGACAGAAAATTGCCTGTGCCGGTCCACGGCTTCGTATAACCCCCATTTAACGGTACCTCCCGATATTCGGTATTTTGATGATTTTAGCGAAATTTTTTGCCGGAACTATTTCAAATTTGGTATTTGAAGTTCGTAATGAATACTACAGCCTACAGACAGAAAATGAGCCATGTAGGTCTGCGTCTTCGTATAGCACGCATATAACGGTACCTCCCAATATTCGGTATTTTGATGATTTCAGCGACATTATTTACCGGAATTATTTCAAATTTTGTATTTGAAGTTCGTAATGGATACTACAGCCTATGTCAGAAAATTGTCTGTACAGGTCCACGTTTTATAACCCCCAAGGTACCTCCCTATATTCGGTATTTTGAAGATTTTAGCTACATTATAAGCAGCCTTTTTTTCAAGTTTTGCATTTGAATATTGTAATAGTTGCCTATGCAAGTCCACGTCGTCGAATAGACCTTTCGGTATTTTTAAGATTTTAACAGAATTTTTAACGGATTTTAATTTTTTTTCTTTTTTTTTTTTTGAAAATTGCCGAATTTGTGAGAAATGGTCAAAGTTTGGCCGTCCGAACTTACAGCTTTTTTACTTGCTTTTAGCTCTTTTTTGTTGCACAGTAAATTTGAAACAATTCAGTTGAAAAGTTTGGCTAAAATTATTAAAATATGGATGATACCGTTATATGGGGGTATAGTAAAATATAGAGATATGTGAACCTCTTTCGGTGTGAGACATTTTAAGCCACTTAAACTTTAAGTACCTTCTTTAGAACAATTCCGTTAGAAAATGTATCTGCAATCATAAGCATACCGAATATTGTTATATTCGGCATGGAGGTGGCGTTATATGGAGTCCTATATAGACAACGTGGACCTATATCGACGACTTGTGCCAGGGTAAGATATCTCCCATTACGAATTTCAAATAACGAATTTCTAATAATTCTCTTGAAGAAAACTGGACGGAATGTTTGGAGTACCATTATAAAGGGGCTATACGACTGCAGACAGAAGACTGATCTGTACAAAATGTGAGCTTTCTATCCTACGTCATTTTAACCCTAGCGTGACCACAACAGACGGACTGATATGGCTTAATCGTCTTAGATTTTATGCATGTAGCTATTTGGAAGGGTTGCAAACGAATTGCAAAATTAATATACCCCATGCCATACATGGTGGAGGTTATAAAAATGCAGAATATTTGTTATATATTCATAATTACTGAATACTATGATCCGATTGAGCAGGGGCGTAGTTGTTTTGCATGGAATCGAGAAAACTTTCTGGAAAATTTCAACATTTATCTGTTTTCATTATTTGAAGAGGGTATATTTACATACTTCTCTGGTTGGTACTCGTTTCCTTTTCAATGTAGCCCCCCCCCCCTGATATACACTTCCTACGCCAATGGCATATATAAACACTCTGAATACATAAAAAATTTTTATCAGAAGCAATAAAAATATTTTGTTAATAATATTTGCATAGTTATGACGACATTCATGGCTGACGAATATTTTGTGTTTTTTGTTAGTTTTTTTTTTTTTTTTGAAAAAAAAAAATGTTTGGAAAATTTCAAACATTGCATCGATAAAAACTACGTCCTAACTGCAGTCATAAAAATTCTTCAACCTAGAAATGAGACCTCATTTAAACGATTTGGTCACATACATTAATTTGGCGCCAGTTGTCTTAAATATTTTTCTATAAAAGTTCGTTGAGAGTTGCAAAACGGTATTAATTTTAGCGACACACCCACAGCTACAACATGAAGGTAAGTGTAGTTGGCTAACGAAAGTATTGAGTTTTTTTCAGACCAAATGTATTTCTATATTAATGATATTAAATAATTTTTTTCTTACAGATCTTCCTTTGTCTGATGGCAATTTGCTCGGTAGCCAATGCTGGTTTCTTATTCGGCGGGGGTTTTGGTGGTAACGGGGCCAGTGGTGGTGGCTGGAGCAATGGTGGAGGCTGGAACAATGGCGGCGGTTCCGGTGGATGGTCAAATGGTGGAGGAGCATCTGCAGGACCTATAACTATTCTAAAGATTATATCTGAAGTACCTGCTACTGGTGGATCCAATGGCGGCGGCTGGTCTAATGGTGGTGGTTGGTCGAATGGCGGTGGTTGGTCCAGTGGTGGCGGATCTACAGGCGGTACTGTTAAAATTTTCAAAATAATTTCTCAAGGGTCTGGAAGTTCCGGTGGCTGGTCCAGCGGTGGTTGGACCAATAGCGGTTGGTAGAAATCGTATAATGATGTAATCCAAATTGTTATTGTTTTATAGTCCTTATAAGTTGTATAGTATTATGTGTTCAATAAATTGTTAAACAAATTCCAGGTACCCTTTTTTCAAGTGGATATTATACATTGACGTTCTGTATATATTATATCGATAACTTTCGGAAGGTTCAATGAGGGGGGAAAAAAAAACTTGCTATAACTGTTTTTCAAATAGTTTTCGACCGTTTTTTTAAGGATAACGAGGATTTTAAGGCCAGACTTAGGCATTGTGATTTCAACTGGTGATATAGCGAGAGACACCCTAGATTGATATTTATCGGGTCGAGGTTATAAATTAAAGGTAGTGTTGCTGATATAGGAATGTTTTGATAAACGGCTCAGTGGAAATCGGGTAGCATTAGTGGAGTGTAAGCAGGCGGAAATGATAAGGCTTCTTCTGGAAAGAAATTTGATGGGTAAAAGGTTATGGTAACAGACTAAACGAACCATAGGAAGCGAAGGAATATCATTGAACTATGGAAAGTAGGATATAAGCGAATGGACAGTAAAGGGATCAAATAGCAAGGCAGATTCCTATTATAAAAATCGATGGAATTTTATAAGAGTACTGCAAATTTAATAAACCTTATTCTCTGTTTCGATTCTTGTTCTATGAAAATTGAAAAAAGATGAAAAATATTTTCTTTGTCAATTTTCTCATTTAACATTTCTCTTCTTTAGAAAAATTTTCATTTCAGGTTTTCGTAAAACAAGAATTGGGCCCATCGCTCGAAAACTTCGAAATAATTTTTCTGTTTTTTTTTTAGCTGTAATTCGAATTTAACGAAACTTACTGAACTTATTATAACGCTGTGCAACACAGTATATATTTACAGAAAAAAAATCTAGTAGATTATGATGAATAGAGCTAAAAATAAGAGTGTATCGGCGTTTTGAAAGTTTGCATCGTAAATTAACCTAATATGAGGAAGCAAACTCGCGAAAGAAAAGAAATACCTATTTTCAAAAAAAAAAAAAAAAAAAAAAAAAAAAAAAACAGTTGTCTTTTTTTTTCTTGTTCAAATTTTCCGTCCGCCTTTCTGTCCACTTTAATTTTTATACCCTCCACCATACTATGGTATGTAACTCCTCGAAATACTCATGTCAGACCCAACAAAGTATATATATTCTTGATCGGAGTAAAATTCTAAGTCGATTTAGCGATGTCCGTCTGCCTATCTGTCTGTCCCTCTATATGTCTGTTGCATACATGTTTATTTTGCCAGTAGGCAGACTAAGTTCGTAAATGGATCATGTAGGTCCACGTTTTCATATAGCCCCCATATAACGGTACCTCCCGATATTCGGTATTTTGGTGATTTAAGCGACATTTCTCAGGAAATGTTTCGAAGTTTGTAAATGAAGTTCGTAATGGGTACTACAGCTTATGACAGAAAATTTTCTGAGCAGGTCCACGTCTTCGTATAGCCTCCAATATTCGGTATTTTGATGATTTTAGCGACATTATTCACCGGAATTGTTTCAAATTTGGTATTTAAAGTTCGAAATGGATACTACACCCCAAAGACAGAAAATTGTTTGTGCAGGTCCACGTCTTCGTATAGACCCCATATAACGGTACCTCCCAATATTCGGTATTTTGATGATTTTAGCGTCATTATTCACAAGAATTACGTATTTAGGATTCGTTATGGGAACTACGGTCTGTGACAGAAAGTTGTCTATACAGGTCCAGGTCTTCGTATAGGCCCCTTATATCAGTATCTCCCTATATTCGGTATATATACGATATTTTGATGATTTTAGCTACATTATTCACCGTTTATTTCAAGTTTCGAATTTGAATGTGGTAATGGCTTATGACAAACGATGCTTATGTAGGCCCACGTCGTATAGACCCCAATATAACGGCTATATTTGGTATTTTTAAAATTTTAAATTTTAATTTTTTAAGGATTTTATTTTTTGAAAATTTCCAAATTCGTGCCAAATGGTGGAGGGTATTTAAATTTCGGCTACAGGCCCGTTATGGCTCGATCTTTGCATGGAGGTGGGCTAGTAAAGAAGCCTATTGCTTTTGGAGGAATGGACCAGAAACAGAAAAACTTCTTGATTTTGCTGTTGCTATAGAGGTCGCAATGGACGTGAAATTTAGAATGGGACTAGAATTAAGGGTTGGGCCTACCACTTTTTACATTGTATGTGATATTTTAAATTTTGCCTTGTAATGTTGAATTTTAAATTTTGAAAATTTTGTTAACACCCTGTAACACCATGTGTTAGGGGTATTATATTCAGGTTGCAATTATTGACCGATCTTCACGAAATGTTGCATGGGGATAGAGTTAGGATCGGAATAGAATCCTATTGGGTTGGAAGAAAGACAAATATTCATGAATTTTTTTATTAGGCTAGTATAGAAGCCTATTGCTTTTGGAGGAATGGACCAGAAACAGAAAAAAGTTCTTGATTTTGCAGTTGCTATAGAGGTCGCAATTATTGGCCAATGGACGTGAAATTTAGAATGGGACTAGAATTGAGGCCTGGGCCTACCACTTTTTGCATTGTATGCGATATTTTAAATTTTGCCTTGTAATGTTGAATTTTAAATTTTGAAAATTTTGTTAACACCCTACAAAACCATGTGTTAGGGGTATAATATTCAAGTTGCAATTATTGACCGATCTTCACGAAATGTTGCATGGGGTTAGGGTTAGGATCGGAATAGAAGCCTATTGGGTTGGAAGATGTTCGCGAAATATTTGGGGGTTAAAATGGACCGAAAACTCAAAAGACAAATATTCATGGATTTGTTTACGAGGCTAAAGTTTAGGACATCGCTGAAGCCTATAATTGTGATAATTTTACAATATTAAGCAAATTTGAGTGAAAAAATACCAAAATTAAAGATATCATAAATAAATCAAAAGGCACACATCTGGCCTTTACATTGATTCTGATTTGTTGACGAATATAGCCCAATATCGGAGATAAAAATTAATCATATAGCGGAATCCAAATTTTCGAATACTGCTTTAAATATCCATTAACACGACATAAGGAGAAAATATGGGTTAAATCCTACGAAGATTTGGATGATCTCATGGTTTTGGTTTGGTAGGTATTAGCGACTACTTTGATTTCGTCTCTAACTTAACGATAAATTTCGTTTATTACCAATCATTTTAAGTTTATCGACTCAAGAAATTAGTTAGAGAATTCCACTACAGTTCTGCAAAAACTTTTCATAAATTGTAGTGTTGTAGGGCATCAAATGGTCGGCCCTCACGACCATAGTCCTAATTAGAGAATTCCACTACAGTTCTGCAAAAACTTTTCATAAATTGTAGTGTTGTAGGGCATCAAATGGTCGGCCCTCACGACCATAGTCCTAATCACTTATGAATGCCTGGCGTTTAAGTAAGATTTAGAGTTTTGATGTATTTTAAGACTTATAGTAAAATTTGACGACCCTATTAAGAGGGAGTTTTAAATCATAGATTGAGATTAATATCTCGACCAATATGATCCTGGTATTGTAATCCGATATTATTGGAAAACGATAACTTCCGAATGAATTGAGATAGAAGGGTACAATTTTGCATACATGTGTATTTAGCCAGTAGGCAAGATAAGATCATAAATAGGTCGTTTCGGTCCCCGTTTTCAACATTTGTTATTTTCATTATTTTAGCGACATTATTCACCGTAATTGATTCAAATTTCGTATTTGAAATTCTGAATCGGTACTTCAGCCTATGACAAAAAATTACTCACGGTTTTCATTTGAGCGGTATTTTTCGACGGGATCTTTTCCTTCAAGTTCCTCCCAAAATGTGGAGGGTATTAAAAGTTCAATCCGGCCGAACTTAGCTGCTGTTAGACTTGATAGGTCTGCTTTCGTAATCTACTTGGCTTTGCTGTAATTATTTCACATTGCGATATAAATATTCAAAACATCGGTACACATGCTTTCTCTTTTTATACCTTCCACCAGTAGTTTGAAGAAACATTTTTTGCCGATTTAATCATGTCAGTCGTTTGTTTGCTTGTCCGTTCATCTGTGGGAATCACTAAAGCTTCCTAACGAAGAGAAGATGGTTGATAAAATATTACCCAGTTGTACTTCACATCCGCAAGATTTTTATACCCTCCACCATTTTTATTATGGAGGGTATATTAAGTTCGTCATACTGTTTGTAACTCATCGAAAGTATAATTGTAGACCAAACAAAGAATATATTCCAGATTGTAGTAAAATTCTAAGTCAATTTAACCCTGTCCGTCCGTCTGTTGTAATCACGCTAGAGTCAAAGCGAAACAAGATTGGAAGCTAAAATTTTGCACAGATATGGCTTTTGCCCGCAGGCAGGTCAAGTTCGAAGATGGGTTATATCGGTCCACGATATCGTATAGCCCCCATACAACGGCACCCGCCGATATTCGGTATTTTGATGATTTTAGCCACATTTTGTAATGGAATGGTCTGAAAATCCACAAAAGAAGTTTCTTATGAGTACTTTATCCCTTGAAAGAGAATTATCTATATAGGTCCACGATATCGTATAGCCCCCATATAACGATACCCTCCGATATTCGGTATGACGATTTTAGCCGCATTTTTCAACGGAATTGTCTGATAATCCACACAAGAAGTACCATTTTTACCTCGAAAGAGAATAATTTATATAGGTCCACGATATCGTATGGCCCCCATATAACGGTCCCCCGATATGATGATTTTAGCCATATTTTCCTATGGTATTGTCTGAAAATCCACACAAGGAGTTCTTTGTGAGCACTTTAACCCCTGAAAGGTAATTGCCTATATAGGTCCACAATATCGTATATCCCCCCATAAAGCACCTTCCGATATTAGATATTTTTAAGATTTTAACAGAATTTTAAATGGATTTTTTTTTTTCATTTTCTAATTTTATTTTCTAATTCGTTCCACATGGTGGAGGGTATTCAAAGTTCGGCCCGGCCGAACTTACTGCTTTTCTACTTGTTTATGCTGATTTCGTTATCGAATATATCCAAATATCGTAGACAAGCAAATCATATAGATGAGTCTAAATTTAGAGAAGATGATGCATTTGAAGATGATCGGTTCAAATTATTTAAGGGTTCATATGAACCAAAAACAGACACATTTTCCTGATTACACAATTGAAACCAATCGACATGGAATTTTGCATGAGAAGAGAGTTAAGGACAGGAAAGAAGTCTAGCATTTTGGATGACCATTGGATTAAGCTGTAAAATTGACAACAACAAATAACAACAGGACGGAGTGCGTAAATATTGGGCAAGAGCCCCTGGTCAATTATCTAAGGAAAATATTCTGCAAAATGGATTTGGACATAAGGGGGCTTCGAACATATTGTAGTGTTGTAGGGCATCATAGGTCGGCCCGCACGACTATAGCCTTTGCTTACTTGTTTTCGAATAATTTTTTTTTTTTGAAATTTTCCAAGTTTCTTCCAAATTGTAGAGGGTATAAAAAGTTCGGCGCGACCGAAATTAGCTGCTTTTTTACTTGTTGTAATTAAAAATTAGCCATATAAGTCCTCGTCTTATTATAGCACATCTGCTTTTTATTTTACATATATTCATTTTATTTATATTTATGCAGATCCACATCTTCGTATAGCCCCCCCCATCGAAATTTTTTCAAGTTCCTTCCAAATAGGGGAGAGTATTTAAAATTCGGTCGAACTTTGCTGCTTTTTTACTTCTTAGCTCTTCTTTCGTAAACTACTGAACTTTAGTGTAATTATTTAAAAAAATAGAATTTTGTCGCACAGTGTAATCATAACTCTCGTATAATACTAAATGATTTCTTATTTTTCTTCAAATATAAATAAATATGTCCGCAAACGGACTAATATTTTTGAAAATTGCTTCTTTCGTTAACGTCTGCTTTAAAAGTTTTGTTGTTTTACTCCTCACACTACTCAAATTTTTCCGAAATAGATAAGAACAGCGATATTATGCGTTTATTTCTATAAAATATTTATAATAACCAGGCTCTTACAATATTCAATAAATTTCATATTCTTTGTTCGGCTTTCAATACATTGTTGTATTTTTATTATTGTTCGAAAATAATATTTTTATACCCATTTTATTTTATGCTAATTTCTACAATTTGTTTTTGTCTTGTTGTTGTTTTTTTTACTAAATGGCTTTGCATTAAGTATTTAAGTGTTTTATAGCCCCAACGATGTGAATCATAGTGGCGGATCGTTTATAACAGGATATATAACTTCTAGTTTGACAACTAATTAAGCCAATTAATGAACAAAATATGTACATATTTATTTATATAACATAATTGTTTTTTAATAGAATATTCCACAAGTTCGAGAGCCGGTTAAAATCTGACGATTGTTAAAAGGAAGCTTTTAGTCAAACACAAAATATAGGTTATAGTGTATCCAAAAAAAAATGAAACACGTTTCTTCTTCTTTATTTCTCTTTCGTTAAAAAGATAAATGATCGGAAATTTGCAGTGAAAAGGAAACCGGATAAATGCCACACACCCCCAAATTATAAAATGTGTTTCACAGCTAGTCTAAATCTTTGATGATGTGTTTGAATGGAATAGGATTTAACTTTAGATGGTGAATGCTATCCTAGATATAGTAAATGCATACTATTAATAAAATTGCAATCCACAAAAATAAATATTCCCCTCCGAATAGTGGGATATTCCACATTTGAATTATCGGTAATTAGATGCAACATTCACTTTTTGACACAATAATCTATTTGAAAATTCTACAGCACCTTTAATTGGTTCCGAACACATACCCATTTCTATAAAAGCGTTTCCAAATTTATATTTTATTATAAGTCCGATTTGATCTTCAATTGAATATCATCGAAAGTGAACTATTATGAAGGTAAGTAAAAAACCAAAAAATATGGACAAACGGAAGGAATATCTTGCCTAGCACTGTGGATTATAGGCAGTATTCCTGGTCAAAAATGTACCAGAGGGTCCCTAGACAGAGATGAAATTTAAAAAAAAAAATAATATCATGTCGGTCTAGGTTTTCCTGTGCCTATTGGCCGTTTGCTCCTGTGCAAATGCCGGCTTCCTTTTTGGAGGCGGTAGTGGTGGAGGCGGAGGTGGATATGGTGGTGGCGGCGGATATGGAGGTGGCTATGGTGGAGGCGGTGGTTACGGAGGCGGCGGTGGCGGTGGTTATGGAGGAGGTGGTGGTGGCGGCGGAGGCCTCACTATAATTAAAGTCATCTCAGAAGGCGGTGCTGGAGGCGGCGGATATGGCGGTGGTCATGGAGGAGGTTTTGGTGGTGGCCATGGAGGTGGTTTTGGTGGAGGCCATGGAGGTGGTTTTGGCGGAGGCCATGGAGGTGGATTTGGCGGTGGTTTTGGTGGAGGCCATGGAGGCGGCTATGGAGGTGGTCATGGAGGAGGCTATGGTGGCGGCTCTGCTGGAGGCATCTCCATTATTAAGATTATCTCTGGAGGAGGTGGCCCATGGGCAAAATCGTAAATGTTAAAAATCTGTGAAAAAATAGTAAATATAGTCACGTTAATTGTTAAAAATAATACTCGGCCTATTCCATAGGAGAGCAGTATTTATACAACGCAATTGCTCTGGTCCAGGACCTGAAAGAATCTACAAGTGTGCAATTTTTTTCGATATCATAGAGGAAAATTTTTGACATACTTGCAGTTCTGGAAGAAATTTGTTTTTTTTTTTTGTTGTAGCTGTTCCAGTGTCGCCTGGACATACAGATGTGGTTTCGGAAATGTGTACTATAGTTGTACGAAAAGTACTGAATAGTACTATGTTTGGTATTGGCTGAAGGTACAGAGATAAAATTCTGAAATTTGATATTTAGATTTCTGATGGTAATCTTAATAGGAAAATTACTAAATTGGTATTGGTTGAAAGGATAGGACTTGATCTCCAAATTTGATATTGAGGTCACTGTTGATATGTGGAGTTGAAATATCGTTGTGGTTTTGGTACTCTATAATTGTACGCAAAATACTAACTGGTACTAAATTTAGCATTGGGTGAAGGGATAGGGCTGTAATCCTAAAATTTGTTGGTGTCTGTGGTTCAGATTTGAAGGTTGTTTTGAAAATCTGTACTATAATTGTACGAAAAGCACTAAAAAGTTCTTAATTTGGTAAAGGGTGAAGGAATAGAGCTGTAATAGTAAAATTTAATATAGATGCGACTGTTGGTGTGTAAGTGGTACTAAATTTGGTATTGGGCAAAGGGATAGAGCTGGAATCCCGAAATGTGGTATTGAGTTTTCTATTGGTATCTGGGTATGTGCTAACATTAAAGACAATCCTACTATTATTTTACATTTTAAAATATTTACTAAATTTACCCCTTTGTTTGGGAGATCTTTGATCGAGTGGATCGTTATTTTCCCTTTTCGTCCTTACATATCATTGATACAAATATTACAATTTGTCAAGATTGACCAAAATCACATAAGCGGTTCTTTTTTATAAGGTAAATTATTTTCTTTGAAAAATGTGTACCAAAGGGAGGTTACCGATACTGCCCATCTATGATATGAATATAAAAATAAATAAAAATAAACAAGTGAAAAAGCCGAAAGTTCGGCCGGGCCGAACTTTGAATACCATTTGGAAGCAATTTGTAAATTTTCATCAAAATACCGAATATAGGGAGGTACTATTATATGGGCGCTATGCGAAGAGGTGGACTTACAAAAGAAATTTTCTGAATCTAGGGAGGTACAATTTTATGGGCGTTATACGAAGACATGGACCAGCATGAACAATTTTTGAAAATATCTGTTAAAGTATGTAGAACCTTTTATGAACCTCAAATTCCAAATTTGAAACATTCCCGGTGATAAGTGTAGCACAAAACCTTTATTGGCAGTTTTATGTAAGGATGTATCTCGCATAAGGGGGACCCACGGCAAATTTAGGCTAAAATTGTGACTAAAACCCCCAAAAAATTAAATCTTTCGAAACAATTATATGGCGGCTTTTTTAAAACGTGAACCAACATAGCCCATTTTCAATACCAAAAGTACTACAGACCTAACAGACGTCTAAGTAAAACTTTATAAAATTGGTATTTGGAGTTCCTATGACAGAAAATTACCTAAGAAGGTCCACATTCTTTTATATCCCCCATTTGCCATTGAAGGCATATTTTGACTTCCAATCACCAACGTTGAGATAATTCATTTGAACAGTGTGTTGAAAATCGGAAAATACCATATATCGAATACAGCTCTACGCTTTTTATATCCTACACCACATGGTGGTAAGGGTATTTTGTCTTTGTGTATTTGTTTGTAACATGGAGAATGAAGCAAGATAGACCCATAAATACTTTTGAGGATCTTCATAAAATTACTTTCTGAGTCGATTTATGCATGCACGCATTTATTATCCAATTGAGATAAAATTATCCAAACAATATTTGTTTAGCCCAAGAACGAACCCTATTTAATTTGGTGATAATCGGTTTAAATTTATATATATCTCCCATATATATCTTCAACCAACTTCGGGGTAATTTTGAACCAAAATGGCCAATATCAATCAAAATAACCTGATTTTGGCACATCCGACCGATTTTAGTCTACAAGGAAGAAACATCGAATTCGGAGAAAACCGGTTCAGATATAGCTATAAGTCCGCCACATTCGTAATATGCACCCCAAAAAAATGTTTAGTATCTGATATCAGTATCAGATGCAGCCCAGAAATATCTCTGTCAAAATTTTTCAAGATTGGTTCAGATTTGGATATAGCTCCCATATACATATATCGTTAACCGATTTCGGGTTAATTGTGCATCAAATAGCCAATATCTTTCCAAATGACCTGAACTTTTGCACCTCCGACCGAATTCAGTCTACAATCAAGTACATCAAATTTGGAGAAAATCGGTTCAGATAACCTCGATTTGGGGTTTTAAGTCCCTCACATGCGTACTCCACAAGAATGAAATATGATACCAAATAACTTAAGGAGCCCAAAAATACCTCTGTGAAATTTTATCGAGATCGGATCAGATTTGGATACAGCTCCTACATATATCTCAATCCGATATAAGGTTTATTGTGCACAACATGGATAATATCAGCTCAAAGTGACTAATTTTTTTCAATTCCGACTGAATTCTTTCTAGAAACAAGCACTTCAAAGTTGATGAAAATCGGTTCAGATATAGCTATAGCTGCCATATATATGTTTTATCCGAAGTTGTGTTAGAGTCACTAACATGCGCAATATGCACTCCACAATAATAATATTTGATACCGGGCACCAGATACTTTTAGAAAATACTTCTGCCAAATTTCATCGAGATCGGTTCAGATTTTTATATAGCTACGACATCCGATTTTACGGTTATTGCTCACCATATACAGGGTGAGATAAAAAAACTGCTAAAAAGTCAAACGCCATAATTTTTAAATTCTTTTTAATTTTGGAATGGAATTGCCCACCATAGATGTAATACCAGTCCGAATTATACCATTTGGTGAAAAACGGTTCGGTATATACGGAAATTCATAGTTGGTGCGACCTACTTCATATAAATTCCAAATATATATATATATATATATATATATATATATATATATATATATTTTTTTTTTTTTTTTTTTTTTTTTGCTACGGGAGCTCTACTAAGGTATCATATAGTAGGCCCGCTCGTCTTTTGGCTTTTCCTTACTGGTTAATAGCTCCCATCTATCGAAAGATATTTGATATTTATCCAAATTTCGCGACAGTGTTTAACAGAATTATCTCAAAGTTTGGTAATTGGAGGTGGCAATATGCCTTCTATGGCTAATAATTGGCAAAATAGACCAACGCTTTTGTACAATAACGCCAGATATTCGGTTTTTAATAACTTTCGAGGCATTTTTCAACGGATTTTTTTACGTTTTACAAGTTTCTTCCAAAAGTCCCTCTTCACTTGGTGTCACATTTTGAGTTAATTGTGGCCCGTTCGAACGTTGTTGCTTATACGACTTTTTAACATCATCCTCATCGTAGCTGCTCAACAATGTGTTTTGTATTGACAATTTTTAGATAACCTGTATTTGTGCATCTTCTTTTCGAAGCTAATCTTATGTTATACTCGGTCCCCTCCAATCTTCCTTAAACGTATGCCTGTGACAACATCGTTTACTTTCAAGGCCGAGGTCGTGTGTCATAATAACCTGTTCGCCCTTTCCCTCTAAACCAAACCAATTAAATTAATTTAAAAATTACAATCCTAGCTAATAAATTATACTCATAATATGTAACATTCAAACGAATAATTAACCCGAACCCCCTGCCAGGGGTTATGAAGTTATTAAAAATTCAAAAGATGACCACGCACGAACAAAGCCAAAGAGTTTAACGGTAATTCACGTCGATAAAAACAAAACAGATAATGATGAATTAATCTTGTCAGCATATAAACATAGTCATAGCCATAGCCAACCACACGACCCACCGGAGGGTATAGCTTCTGCGTGACTAATTCTACCAACAAAGTCGCCAAATTAGCCGATGTGTCTTCTGGTGTTTTTCTTTAACCTTCTGTTTTTGTCGTATATTTTCGGATGCTGCTTCTTGTTTTTTTTTTAATTTCTTGTGGCCACATTCATAGAAATAATTACTGGATGCTGAATTGGCTGGCAGCAGAGCTCTTATACCTTTGGCACAATACCGGCAGCTGACGATCCCCCTTTGATAGTTGTATAAATTGAAAGAAGTTTTGAATCGAGGCATCAATCTCAGTTGAACTTCGATCCAACATGAAGGTGTGTATTGTGTTGCGACAACGCATTGGTTTCGGCTTGGCTCGAAGGAAACATCGTCCGGTGAAAATAATATGCCTAACACCGTGGATTATAGGCTTTATTTTTTTTCCGGCGATGTGACTTTTTGGGTCTTTTGGATACATTTTTAATGAGGATGTTTTTCTTTTGTTAGGTTTTCGTTTGCTTACTGGCAATTTGTGCTGTGGCCAATGCTGGCTTCCTCTTTGGAGGCGGTAGTGGTGGTGGCGGCGGTGGCGGTGGCGGCTTTGGCGGTGGTCATGGAGGCGGCTACGGTGGTGGTCATGGTGGCGGTCACGGTGGCGGTTATGGCGGTGGCCATGGAGGCGGTTATGGCGGTGGCCATGGAGGCGGTTATGGTGGCGGTCATGGCGGCGGCTATGGTGGTGGATCAAGTGGACCTACCATCATTAAAATCATCTCCGATGGCGGAGCCGGAGGCGGTTTCGGAGGCGGCTATGGTTGATATACAATTTTACACAACATTTTGTAAAAAAAATAAACATTTTGTGATAGAAAACAGTTCAAAATCGAAATAAAAACTTTAAAGATATCCTGTTTAACCCTTGTCCCTCCTTTGCATTTTCCAATTGCAAATGTTTCCGAAAACTGTACCGAAAGCTTTCAAACGACTTAAATCGGAAGTTTTATACCAACATGAACTTATATTGACTATATTTCATGAGACTATGTTAAGCCCATTTAGAAGCTGAAGGTCGGAACAGTTCTAGTCTAGAAGTCATCAATCCTAAAAATTAGAGGCATTTCGTAAAACTTCTTACACGATGAACATCTGTAGAAGATATCTTCACCACGAATAGGACAAATGTACAGACAAGAGGACTGTACTGGAAGGATATGTGCATAACACCACCAGCTGATGTGTAACGAGACTGCTATTTTTCCACATTTCTGCCAAAGTCGTTAAGGTATGAACTATGAAGAGGTCGGGCCAAAACATAATAAAACAAGTAAAAAAAAAACATTAAGTTCGGCCGGGCCAAACTTTTAATACCCTCCATCTTAGGGTAAAAGAAACATTAGAAGAAATGTGGCAAAAACCATTAAAACGCCGAATATCGGGAGGTACCGTTATATGGGGGCTACACCAAAACGTGGACCTATAATTACAATGTTTCGCCACACGAACTAGGACCATTATGACCCACAAATACCAATTTTTAGACAAATCAGTGAAAAAATGTGTCAAAAACCATCAAAATACCGAATATCGGGAGGTACCGTTATATGAAGGGTATATCAGATCATGGACCCATGCATTCAATGTTTCGCCACCGGAGCTGGAACTCATTATGACCAACAAATACCAATTTTCAAACAAATCAGTGAAAAAATGTGGCAAAAATCATCAAATTACCGAATATCGGGAGGTACCGTTATATGGGTGCTATACCAAAACGTGGACCTATAATTACAATGTTTCGCCACACGAACTAGGACCCATTATGACCCACAAATACCAATTTTTAGACAAAACAGTGAAAAAATGTGGCAAAAACCATCAAAATACCGAATATCGGCAGGTACCGTTATATGGGGGCTATACCAAATAATGGACCCATACATGCAATGTTTCGCCACCGGAGCTGGAACCCATTATGACCAATAAATACCAATTTTCAGACAAATCAGTGAAAAAATGTGGCAAAAATCATCAAATTACCGAATATCGAGGGGTACCGTTATATGGGTGCTATACCAAAACGTGGACCTATAATTACAATGTTTCGCCACACGAACTAGGACCCATTATGACCCACAAATACCAATTTTTAGACAAAACAGTAAAAAAATGTGGCAAAAACCATCAAAATACCGAATATCGGCAACCAATCCTAGACACAATGCAAATTGCTCTGCTAAATTTTGGCGCTCTACGTCAAATAATGTGGGTTGTATCGTGATTTCAACAGACAGATGGACAGACAGACAGACGGACAGACGGACGGACAGACAGACAGACAGACAGGCGAACAGACAGACAGACGGACATCGTTAAATCGACTAAGAATTTTATGCTGATTATGAATATATATACTTTATGGGGTCTAAGACGAATATTTAAGGATGTTACAAACGGAATGTCAAAGTTAATATACTCTCCTTTCCAAGGTGGAGGGTATAATAAAAAAGTAAGCAAAGGCTATAACCATGCTGGCCCAACACCCTACAACACCTCAATATGTTACAATCTCCCTTATGTCCACAACTATTTTGGAAGATCTCGCTTTTGAAATTATGTCATAGAGCTCTGTCCAGATATTACCCTTTGCTTTTTGACCAGGGACATTTTCCAGATATTATTGTGGTCTATTTTACAGCTAAATATAATCCAATGGTCATCCAATATGCCATACTTCTTCCTGTTACCTCCATATTTTCGGTATTTTGGTGATTTAAGCGACATTATTTATTGGAAATATTTGAAATTTTGCATTTGAAATTCGTAACTGATACTACAGTCTATGCCAGAAAATTGTCTGTGCAGGTCCACCTCTTCGTATAGCCCCCATATAATCATACCTCCCGATATTCGGTATTTTGATGAATTTAGCGACATTATTCACCGACTTTTTTTCAAGTTTTGCATTTGAAAAATTTTAACAGAAGTTGTCTATGCAGGTCCACATCGTCGTATAGACCCTAATATAACGGCTACATTTGGTATTTTTAAGAATTTAACAGAATTTTTAACGGATTTAATTTTTTTGAAAATTGACAAATTTGTTTCGAATGGTGGAGGGTATAAACAATTCGGCTTACAACTTTTTTACTTGTTTGTTTTTATGAAGTTAGCGTTTAGGACAGCGCTGAAGCTTAGCATTTTGGATGGCCATTGGATAATATTTGGCTGGTGAAATACCACAATTTTGTGTGAAAATATACCAAAATAACAAAATCACAAATTCATGAAAGGCATAATGGCTGGACATTTGAAATGTTAATATTTGGATCACTATTAGTGTGTACGGTTGAGATGTGAGGGTGATTTTGGAAATATGTACTAAAATGTTCAAAAGTACTAAATGGTACTAAATTTGGTATATGAGTGATATAGTTGGAAATCTGAAATTAAGATCTCTTTTTGTGAGGTGGGGTTGATATATGGGGGTGGTTTTCAAAAAACGTAACAAAAAGTAAATTTGGTACTTAGGAACGGTATAGAGCTGGAAAACTGAAATTTGCAATGAGGATCTTTGATCAAAAGTGTAAAATTTGAGTGGTACTAACTTTAGCATATAGCATGGAAGTAGAAGAGATATCATGAATTTTTGTATTAGGATTACTGAGAATGCGATGCGTTTAGATAAAGAGTCGAATTTGGAAATACCTACAGCAATGTGTACGAAAAGTATTTATTAAATGGTACTAAATTCGATATATTGTGTAGGAAAATAACTAGATTTGTGAATATTGGTATAGGGATCACTGTGACTGTGCAGCGTTTAGATCAAGAGGTGAATTTGGAAACCAGAAATATAACATGTACGAAAAGTACTAAATGCTATAAAATTTTCAAATGAATACTACGGCGAGTACGAAAAGTACTAAATTGTACTAACTTTTGTCCAAAGTCAGGAAAAGACCTGGAATTTTTCATTTAAGTTATTATTTTTACAGAATTTATTTTTTCCCATAAAAAATATCGGATATTTTCTAATTACTATATAAATTACGCCACATAATACAAACTTAAAAATCCATCTACTCTTTGGTTTTATAAATACCCAAACCACAACACAATGTTTTTTTTTTTTTTTTGGAACGTCGTCCCAACCTAATGTTGCTTTCACATCTTGGTTATTTATTGTCTTACCATTTACTGACCAAGGTTAAGCATAACTAATTCTATATGGAAAAAATAAAACAGCAAGAATTAAGAAACATCGAATACATTAAGTGGCAATATGAGAAAAACAAACCAATTAGGCCTAGATCCGCCACTTAATTCATTTGTCATCGTTTCACCAATGCTTTGGAGAAGGAATATTTAATAGGTTATCATCCAAGTGGTGGGGGTTCACAAAAATGTTATTCAAAATAGCAAAAATTAGCAATGGTAATCTGCCTCCAATAAATAATACAAAAAAAAAAAAATAATAATAATTCGAGATATGTGATATCAGGATATTCATTTAAGTGTTGAGAAGGTTGAGGTTCAAAATAGGTGGTGGTTTCACTTTGGAAGACAAAGAGATAAATGAAGATATGTATTTCTCTTTTATAGATTGGATATAGTACTGATATAAATGCGAAATCTAACTCCAGCTATGTAGAGGAATCTACAGAATCTTTGCCAGTTAAAAAAGGTTAAATATACATAATAACATTTTTGTTACTGGTATTTCTACTATATTTGCATAGTCGACTCCGTCCCCTTTTTTATACCCTCCACCATGGGTAGGAGGGTATATTAACTTTGTCATTCCGTTTGTAACACCTCTAAATATTCGTCGTAGACCCCATAAAGTATATATATTCATAATCAGCATAAAATTCTAAGACGATTTAGCGATGTCCGTTTGTCTGTCTGTCTGTCTGTCTGTCCGTCTGTCTGTCTGTTGAAATCACGATAGAGCCCACATTATTTGACGTAGACCTTTGAAATTTGGCACAAGTGTGTGTATTGTCCCTAGGATGGTTGGTATTGAAAATGAGATATATCGGTCCACGTTCTGGTATAGTCCCCATATAACGGTACCTCCCGATATTCGGTATTTTGATGATTTATGCCACATTTTTTCACGGATTTATCTGAAAATTGGTATTTGTAGGTCATGACGGGTCCCTGAGCGTGTGGCAAAACATTGCATGTATAGGTCCACGTTTTGGTATAGCCCCCATATAACGGTACCTACCGATATTCGGTATTTTGATGATTCATGCCACATTTTTTCACGGATTTGTCTGAAAATTGGTATTTGTAGGTCACAACGGGTCCCTGAGCGTGTGGCAAAACATTGCATGTATAGGTCCACGTTCTGGTATAGTCCCCATATAACGGTACCTCCCGATATTCGGTATTTTGATGATTTATGCCACATTTTTTCACTGATTTGTGTAAAAGTTGGTATTTGTGGGTCATAATGGGTCCTAGTTCGTGTGGCGAAACATTGTAATTATAGGTGCACGTTGGTGTAGCCCCTATATAACGGTACCACCCGATATTCGGCATTTTAATGTCTTTTGCCACATTTCTTCTAATGTTCTTTTACCCTAGGGTGGAGGGTATTAAAAGTTTGGCCCGGCCGAACTTAATGTTTTTTTACTTGTTATACCCTCCACTTTACATTGTATGGAAGGTAAATTAAGTTCGTCATTCCGTTTGTAACTCATCGATATAACCAAGTATGTATACAGGGTGTGATGAAAAAATTGCAACCAACTTCAGACCGCTGTCATTTGTAAGCCACTAGTCCCACAGCTGTTAAAATTGTTCCAGTG